CCTCCAGTCGGCGTAGCCTCTCCATGCGTTGACCTCTCTCTGTTCTTCCTGTCAATGGAAAAGTTCAAGACTTTTTTTTTATAAAGGACTTGGATATATATTTCTAGGAGGAAACATGTATATATATCTTCACTCTGAAAATGATATCTCTCCTCCTTTCTCTTTGATTTCTTGAGTGGTGGAAAAAATGAAATAAGTTATAACAAAATGCAGAGGGAGTAAGATATTAGAAGAACCCACCATCAACTCTCTCTCTCTCTCTCTCTTGAGTTTTTGAGGAAAATATTGGGTTTGTGTGGATGAATTTGATGTGAGAATGGGTATTTGTGGGATTAAAAGAGAGGAGAGAAGGCTCCAATTGGATGAGGAATAGGGGAATGGGGCCCCTATTAATATATATATGTATAGAGAGAGAGACTTGTATATTAATTTGCAAATGTTTTTTGTTATTTGAAATTTATGCTACTCTTTTTGAAAACGACCATATTTTCCTCTCTTTACTTAACCTTTATTTTCTTTGTTTTGTGGCATTAAAGATGACATATCGGTTGCAAGAATTTATAAAGCAAGTGGTGGAACAAAAGACTGATCTCAATCGTGTTTCAACCTTTACTTAGTATGCAAGTTTATGTAAAATAGGGTTTCAAAGCTACCACGAACATGAATCGTTTTACGATTGATTTGTTATCCCATCAAATTATAGTATTTTAGAATCGTTAAATCTCAATTTAATAATATCAAATTACAGCTCAATATTTCATATTAAAAAAATCCACCATTTTTGTACAATAGAGATACAAAAAAGCAAGAAAAGAGGATAACAGACAAAATTCCATATGATGATATAATTAAGAATATATTGATGTTCAAACTATATATAATTCATAAATTATAATGTTGTATGTGTAAGCTAGGACATACAACCTGTAATTACTTTTTTTTTTTTTTGTGGTGTTTGGAATCCAGATCAGACATAAAAGCACATTTGTGGATAATTTTTTTTAAAACTAAGAGATGCATTAATTAGCTTAAGTAATGGCTTTGTTTAACGGAAAAGGGTACAAGTAACTCAATACAAAAAAAAAAAGGAATTGTGAAGATAAAGGAATCCAATCCACACTCAAAAGGTTAAACGAAAATTAGCTAAGCCTGTTGACCAATAATAATAATAATAATAATAATAATAATAATAATAATAATAATAATAATAATAATAATAATAATAATAGATGAAATAATAATAATAATAATAATAATAATAATAATA